CTTCTACCAATATATGATTTTAATCGAAAACTGCATCTTTGTGCTAATGTGGCATGACAACTGGAACTGATGTACGTACGTACGAAGTTCTACGTTGTGACTGACTGACTGACTCAATTTCATCATAGACCTACCGCTGGAAATAAATCGGCGATTGAGTTTTTGGGCATTGGTCATCTTCAGGGGGTCCACTTATCGACTTAGAATACGCATATGACATAGTGCTGTTTGGTGAAGACGCTGACAAAATGCAGGGTCTTTTGATAGCACTGAATAACAATGCCAAGATATTTGGAATGCGTTTCTCTCCCTCTAAATGTAAATTGTTACTCCAGGACTAGCCTGCGTCAACATCTGAAGTATTCGAACGCGTCGACAACTTATATTGGAAGTCTGATTAGCCCTAATGGGTTGGTGTCTGACGAAATCTCAGCACGGATTCAAAAATCTCGTTTGACTTTTTCCGACTTGCTTCACCCATGGCGAAGGCGAGATATCTATCTATCGTTCTGTTCTACTCTACGGCTGCGAAACGTGGCCATTAAGAGTAGAAAATACTCGTAAGCTACTAGTATTTGACCACAGGTGCTCTAGAAATATTGCTCGTATCTTTTGGGATTACCTGGTAAGTAATAGGGAGGTTAGACGCAGGATATTAGGAAATGATGGCATATCAGTTGGTGAGGTTGTGAATCTTTACCAACCGAGATGGTTGGGCCACGTGTTACGTATGCCCGAACACCGATTACCACTACGCGCCATGATGACCAGTGTTGGAGACGGATGGAAAAAGGTAGGAGTAGTCAAACCAAAACATGGAATCAGTGCTTGAAGTCACTAACTTCTGGTCTGAGCCATGTTGATAGATGCAGACTACTTGGTTGGGGTCCGCGTGACTATCGTAACCAGTGGTTGGAGACTCTAGGTGACATGGCTCAGAATCGATCACAATGGCGTAGGTGTATACACTATTTCTTCTTTTAAACGATGAGGTTAAAACTGCTTCATATCTGTCTTTCTTCCTGTACTATATCCTTGTATACAATCTTTCTTTTATATATTACCACCATTAAATTAACTACTATGAATTCAGTGTTGATCTTGTTGTGCTAATGAGGTATGACAACTTGGACCGATGTGTATATGTACCTGATCCCACGTTGTGGCTGACTGATGGGGAAACAGTTAACATTTAGAAACGTTAAGTGATGTTCGTTAGGGCGGCTCATTATCCTTTAAGCAGTGATGCCGTCTTCTCAGGGATTGATCTTCTGCAAGGAGATTTACTTGCCGATATAAAATGGACATTCTGTTTGGTGAAGTCCCTGACAAAACTCAATCTTCCAGTCTCCCTGAGTAACGATGGAAGGGTGAGTTATCATCAGTTTATTGATTAGTATTCACAGCCACATTCGGCTAAATATTGTACAAATGTTATTATCTATTTTATGGGTCGATATGGTCTGTCTGGTCGGTATATAAACTCAGTATGTTTGAAATACAAGGATTCATACCACTGAGGCTGTTATTGGTGTTTTGGACTTAACTGGTTGGGCTAGGCAGATCGCAGGATCGGTTAGCGCTCTAGACTGCTCGTACGGTTTCGTGTGTCACTGTTACAGTCGATGATTCGCTGCTCCCTGTTTGGCGGTCTCATCAAGTCACACATCAACTAGGCATCCACTCGGCCACAAGATATAACAGATGTTGGGTAACAATGGTCAGAATCAGATGTATTCATTCTTTATCTTCCTTTAGATCTTGAGTCCCGATGTTCTCTCATTTATACTTTCATTTCAAACCATCATCAAACCATCAATCTTCCAGTCTCCCTGAGTAACGATGGAAGGGTGTTTAGAAAACGTTCCTTTCTCTCCCTTTAAATGAAAGATGTTGCTTCGGGACTGGTCTATGTTGACGCCTAGACTAGTGATTAAGGATTAGTTAGTCGAGCTCGTTGGCCTCCTCCGTTAAGTTAGAAGTCTCACCAGCCCTGGGGAATTGGTTGGTGACTGAATAAACCTCGGAATGGATTCGGAAATCCCAATTGAATTTTGCCAATTCGTGTCAATTTTGTAGTCAGTCTGTCAAGGAAGAGTGAGTTTGCTGTAAGCAATCTTCTTTGTTTTACTCAATGTTTATGATACATAGTTTTTGGAAGTAGAGGACATTCGTAGACCACAAATGTTTTATTTTAGATGTCTCTGAAATGCTGAGGTTGGACGTTAGATACTAGGAGGAGATGGCAAATAGGTTGGTGAAGCAGTGAATCTTTATAGAATGAGGTCATATAAAATGTGTATCATATATGTACAACAGTCATCTGCTCCGGCACACTTTGTTAGATGGTTTAGAAGTAGTTTGAAAGACAATTAGGGATGGTCAAACGAAGACGTGGGATTAGTCTATGACATCATTGACTGTTGGACTGAACTGTGTTGATAGATTTCATTTGAAAATCACAATGAGTGGTTGTCGATGTTGTATCCCGAAGAGAATTCTGAATGGTAACTTTTGAAGACTAATTATTGGCCACTATAATATGTATATTTCCTATTGTAATTAACCTAATCATATTCGTTTCCTCTTATCACTAACTTTATTTTGACCTTTGAACTATTATTATACGATCCTTGAGTTATCATCAGTTTATTGATTAGTATTCACAGCCACATTCGGCTAAATATTGTACAAATGTTATTATCTATTTTATGGGTCGATATGGTCTGTCTGGTCGGTATATAAACTCAGTATGTTTGAAATACAAGGATTCATACCACTGAGGCTGTTATTGGTGTTTTGGACTTAACTGGTTGGGCTAGGCAGATCGCAGGATCGGTTAGCGCTCTAGACTGCTCGTACGGTTTCGTGTGTCACTGTTACAGTCGATGATTCGCTGCTCCCTGTTTGGCGGTCTCATCAAGTCACACATCAACTAGGCATCCACTCGGCCACAAGATATAACAGATGTTGGGTAACAATGGTCAGAATCAGATGTATTCATTCTTTATCTTCCTTTAGATCTTGAGTCCCGATGTTCTCTCATTTATACTTTCATTTCAAACCATCATCAAACCATCAATCTTCCAGTCTCCCTGAGTAACGATGGAAGGGTGTTTAGAAAACGTTCCTTTCTCTCCCTTTAAATGAAAGATGTTGCTTCGGGACTGGTCTATGTTGACGCCTAGACTAGTGATTAAGGATTAGTTAGTCGAGCTCGTTGGCCTCCTCCGTTAAGTTAGAAGTCTCACCAGCCCTGGGGAATTGGTTGGTGACTGAATAAACCTCGGAATGGATTCGGAAATCCCAATTGAATTTTGCCAATTCGTGTCAATTTTGTAGTCAGTCTGTCAAGGAAGAGTGAGTTTGCTGTAAGCAATCTTCTTTGTTTTACTCAATGTTTATGATACATAGTTTTTGGAAGTAGAGGACATTCGTAGACCACAAATGTTTTATTTTAGATGTCTCTGAAATGCTGAGGTTGGACGTTAGATACTAGGAGGAGATGGCAAATAGGTTGGTGAAGCAGTGAATCTTTATAGAATGAGGTCATATAAAATGTGTATCATATATGTACAACAGTCATCTGCTCCGGCACACTTTATTAGATGGTTTAGAAGTAGTTTGAAAGACAATTAGGGATGGTCAAACGAAGACGTGAGATTAGTCTATGACATCATTGACTGTTGGACTGAACTGTGTTGATAGATTTCATTTGAAAATCACAATGAGTGGTTGTCGATGTTGTATCCCGAAGAGAATTCTGAATGGTAACTTTTGAAGACTAATTATTGGCCACTATAATATGTATATTTCCTATTGTAATTAACCTAATCATATTCGTTTCCTCTTATCACTAACTTTATTTTGACCTTTGAACTATTATTATACGATCCTTGAGTTATCATCAGTTTATTGATTAGTATTCACAGCCACATTCGGCTAAATATTGTACAAATGTTATTATCTATTTTATGGGTCGATATGGTCTGTCTGGTCGGTATATAAACTCAGTATGTTTGAAATACAAGGATTCATACCACTGAGGCTGTTATTGGTGTTTTGGACTTAACTGGTTGGGCTAGGCAGATCGCAGGATCGGTTAGCGCTCTAGACTGCTCGTACGGTTTCGTGTGTCACTGTTACAGTCGATGATTCGCTGCTCCCTGTTTGGCGGTCTCATCAAGTCACACATCAACTAGGCATCCACTCGGCCACAAGATATAACAGATGTTGGGTAACAATGGTCAGAATCAGATGTATTCATTCTTTATCTTCCTTTAGATCTTGAGTCCCGATGTTCTCTCATTTATACTTTCATTTCAAACCATCATCTCAATGCTTAGTCTCTCTTACTATCATTGATACTACTATTATTTCAACTTCTCTCCTCATCTTAATAATTTTATCTCGCTACCCAGTTGACAACTTTCGATTCTCATTTGTGTGTCATTCTACGTTGGATATAACTAATTGTAATTATCTTTTTTCCTAATTTATAGTATGGGAATTTTTCTATACAACAGATTGGTTGAATTAGCAAAAGTCTTTTGTCGATTATCTCCAGCTATGTGTGGTGGCAATACAGGCCATCCTATCCGTATTATAACAATACGAGTTGTTGCCAAGTATGACATAATTTACCAATCATATGTCTTCCACACTTGTCAGTCATGTCTCGACCCCATTCCAAAGACTTAAATAACTTTGAATACGATCATCCTCTTAGTCAATCAGCTTTTTCATCGGTGAGATACGATGCGATTTTAAAAATCAAGCTTTCGTTTCAACTTTCCTTCCTATGTGGAAATTGATCTTAAAGTGACAACTGTTATGGCAAGTAAAATGTCAGTATTTGATTCTTGTTGAAATATCCTTATATTGAAGTCAGGAACTATTATTCCTCCCTCATGCTCATTTTTATGTTTCTTTCTTAGTTTGTGTCACTGAGAAGTAGTTTGTTGACTTATTGTTTACTTTATATCGTTCTGTTGAATGTTATGGATTTTGAGAACGTGCTACTCGTGAAAAATGAGGTGTTCGTCTATCAGATTCTTTCAAGACAGTCTAATCGGGGTTACAGGGCTAATAACTGGAACCTAGAAACTCCCATGTGGACTGGAAGACTTCGTGTTATTGCCAAAGGTAAAGATCTCGTAATACGATTGGAAGATAAGAATTCTGGACAGTTATATGCTGAATGCCCAGTAGACTCATTCCCTGGGATATCCGTTGAACCAGTTATTGACTCAAGTCGATTTTTTGTTATTCGATTAATGAATGATAGTGGGGAAACTAAATTTGTAGGGATTGGTTTCGCAGAACGTTCGGATTCGTTTGACCTCAATGTAGCAATTCAAGACCATTTCAAGTGAGTTGATATTTTGGTTACTAGGTTATTATTTTCGTTTGATTTCCTGTTATTCAGAAGGATATTACCTAACGTTAATAGATACTTTCCTAGATCTCATATTGAGCCCCCTAAAACCAGATTTATTGTCGTATACTTATTTTATTGTTTTGCGAACCCTATGTTCTCTACTGAAATTACTTACTGCTGGACAGAGTCATTATTCCATTTTCTGTGATTAATCATATTTTGTATAGTGCCAAAAATACACTTGAATCATTGTCTCTAAACAAAAGTAATATTTAATGCATTTGCTATGCATTACGCAAAATGTTCTCGCAAAGCTAAAATTAAATTTAGTACTAGATGATGATCTAACTATAAAACGTTTTGCTTGTTTCTGTGTTTAAGTCGTCTGGCTGACTATTCCTTAGAATTCGTAGTTTAGAATTACGATGTGGAATTTAGGATTTACGGGTGCATTTAGGATTACGGTGTAGAATTTAAGGATTGGTACCAAGTTTTACGCTTAGTTGATATTCGTACTGAATCTCAACCGTAACATTAAATTCTATACTCTGCATCCTAACCCAAAGTCCTAATCTCAAACAATAATACCAAACCTGAATCCTAGCCTTAGCATTATCGATCACCAGTTAGGTGAAAAGGTTAAAGACATTTAAGTAGTCTTTTAAGCTTACCGTTATATTTCAGCTTTATTTGTCCTTTCATAATAGCTAATATCAGTCGGTGATGAGACTCGAACCCTGGTTCCTAACCTTAATACTCCTAATCCTAGTTCCTAATCTTAACTTCTAAATTTCTCCAACCCTAACCTTTTTTTCGTTAATTAATTAACTAAGGTAATCCATCTCTTATTTTTATTACTTTTTATTATAAATTGCCTTAGAACTTAACATTTTTTGATTGCTTGATTGGTTACTCAAGGCTATCTGTACGGTATAATTTTACCCTTCTATTTTCTATAAATTCGGCCTTTACTTACATTCTAAACTTTTAGATTATAGGAATAATATAACAAATTGAAGTTTTATATTACACTGTTAAGAAAAAGCAAAATATGTAGCTCAATGATTTAGTTATATTGATTAGTTTAACCATTTTTAATTTTATAATTTTTATACACACATTAAATTATTAATTAACTGCTAGTTCAATTCATTCAAATTTGTTTATTGACCAGACATTTAAAATGATATGCTTCATTATTATTTTGGATGTCGTTTTAATCAGTGGTTGGTAAACAGGTAAATCCCTATTTAACAGTCTTGCTTCCTTCATCGCATCCAGCCATTTCAATCTTGTTCTGTTGAATAAGTAGTAGCAGAAGGAAGTTATTTGACAACCATACATACCACGAGCAGTAATCAGCGATTTTGATGAAATGTCATTTAGAAACATATTTCAGAATAGTTATACTGAAAATTTACTTGATTCTATCTTTCAAAACGAAATGTTATTGATGGGTTGATCTCTCTGATGACTTGTCTGTTAGTACTCCATTCAGATCATAGCAATAAGTTTCATTAGACCGTAACCAATTTTGACCAAGTCACCTAAGATGATTTAGTTCTATCCTATCTTATTGTTTTAGAATACGAGATCTTTAAAATCATATACGATATTCACTAGATACACTGCGGATTTAATTCGCTTCATCGTCTTTGATAAAGAACATAATATAGGTTATATCTTTGGCCTAAAACAACGTTGTAGATTGGTATGTTATGTACTTTGCTGTAACTGATATTACCTCTTAATGATTAATTAACACTAATGACGATCATCCAGCAATATGCAGTCAGGTGACCGCTTCAGTTGATAATATTACTTCTCTCAAGTTGAATTGCCTTTTTTTGTGTATGAATTTTGTTTTCAGTAACGAGTTGATTCCATATTCATCATTCTTTTCATCTTCAAATATATTGTTAACCAGACTTTTGTAAATTTTTAATTTCTACTATTAATTGACATTCTTTGTCGTATCATTTGTTTCAAAGACCCCATCGATATGTCTCCTTCTTTATGAAATCTAAACCAAATTAGTTCATTGTTTGCTAAAGTTTTATTAAAAGATTTAGAATTCATGGGCCGGATCAGCGTGAGAGCGGAAACTAACAATGGCCAGTAACTCAAAGTCGAGTTCACTGGTGGAGAAAATAGCTGCGTTCACTACCTTATTGCTACAAATTTAACCACTAAATGCCACGTTTTTTTTGTCTCATGTCACTTTGACTTTACCCTGTCATATTAATTGTAGTAACATAAAACGATGTCTTGTTATACAAAACCGTATTTACACTTTTTTCTTTTGACTGACAGGGCTACTTATTGATTAGAAACAATTACTTTCTAGGCTATTACATTTCGGTATGTTTTCTGTAGAGATAATACAATTTGAGTTCAAATGTAGTTGGTTGTATCGATCAATAAATCATAAAAACAGGTCTAATCAATATTTATGGTCAGTGAGAATGTTTTTTCTATTTTAGTGATTAAAGCATCCAAATTTCAACCAATGGCTTCCAGATTCAAATGCCTCTTCATATTCCTCATACAAAATACCTGACTCGAAGTTTGCATGTGTTTACTGAATTGCATTTAGTCTTGTTTTAGGATAAATAATATAAAGCTTATCAAATTTCCTACGTATTTGTCTGAAATATGAACTTCATTATGTTAAAGGATTCAACTATAATTAAACTACGTTCTTCGTTTTGCGTAGATGGTTAAAACAGGAAAAAGAAGCTAAAGAAATTGAAGAAAACGCAGCCAACCAACCAACTAAAGATATGAGTTTCAAAGAAGGGGAAAAAATAAAATTAAATCTGAATACCCGTCGTACAGGGGATGATGCAAATCCCAAATCAAAGGTTACACGCTCGCTTAGTTCTGGATTATCGGGTGGTCTACTGCCCCCTCCTCCGCCACCGGCTGTTTCTCGATCTCGTGGTAATCGCGTTGTAGGAGATACTACTCCTGTATCTGGTAACTTATTTAATAGTGACTCATCACAAGCAAACTATGCAAATCCTGTGTGCACACCGAATGTAAGTATAATCAAAAGGAATAATTATTAATTCCCTTTTGATTTTTTTTATATAATAATGTTTGTTGCTTATTGTTCTATCTAATATATTCGTAAGAAGTATCGTTGGAAGTCCTCATACAATTTACAGTACATTTCACCCTAAATGGTTTAAGTGATTATCCTACTAACGTATGATTCTTTGACTGTTTTCCAATTTTTCACTTGTTCAGCATAAACTACCCTTCATTTCATCTCAAGATATCCAAATTAATCTTCCTAAAGATAGGACTTTAACACTCGTAATGAGAAAGATGAGTTAGCTTTCGACCGTTCGGTGGTATTTTTGGTATGAGTGGTGACTTACCTACTTTAACTTTAAAGAGAGCTTATTTTTCTACGTTTTTACCTAATATACTTGACAAAGTTTTAGAACATACACTTCTGTAGAATGTAGACTTAATAGTAACATGTTATATCTACGGATCATTGATTGTAGTCTTGAGATTCGACTGTTATACGTTTTTTTACAACCACTCTATTCATTTCAAGGTCGAAGTGTTATTCCTAACTTAGTCTCTTCTGATTAGATTACATAATCCCGACAAACAAGTTAAACGACGAATGTAATAAAAGACAGCAAAATGATTTGGCCACTTAGTTATTTATCTCGTTGTAGTGCTAAGGATAGTTTCAGTAACTTCTTGTGTCATAATTGTGAACATCTGTTTATTAAATTATTTCCATAGATAAACGATCTTATTTTTTTGAAATAGTTTCTAAATCTAAAACAAATTTTCCGCACTTATATAAATGCGGCATTTTCATGTGATAATTAAGTCCTTTTGGTAAGTCACGACCATATTCATAGTGTTATCAAAAACAACCACTTCTGCCACAATAGGCGGCAACAAACATCCTTATTTCAGTTCATTAGCTGTCTTAAATTTAGTCCTATGCAAAAATGGATAATCATCCCCTGAGATCCATTGAACCAGATGGGATTTTACAAGTGATAACACCTCGCTAGTCATACTATGCTCGTTCGCTGTTTTAAAGTTTTTGTACAGTAGTCAGTCAAATTCCCGCTTAAAAAACAGCATCTTAGATTCTTGTTCATTATTCTCCAACTATCTGTTTGTTTATAAGCACATAATATGCCATCTCAACTTATTGAGAATGACTTCATTCACCCATATTTTGTATTTGATTTAAATCTTAGATATTTCACCTGGAATTTTATCTTCTAGAACCATGAATCAGATGTCGTTGTTGTTTAACTCGAACTGTGTAATTATTTAGGGATAATCTGAATTCAATTATTCTCACCATAAACTTATAGAGATGGTAATGACTAATACTGTTTGTAATATTTTCAGGTCCCATCGACTACTTCAAACGTCGATCTTCTAACTGATTTCCTCGGGAATTCTGGGCAGTTCTGAATACCATCAAAATACGATATGGATTTATTCTATTTCACACTTCTTATTCATTCCTCTTTAGTGCTCGAAATAGGAAGCATCCTAACAATATTTAAGTAAAAGTCTTTCAACTAAAACCTGATTTATTGCTACAATATTAATGTGAGGATCATTATTGCTTGCATTTGTTAAAAATGTGCTCCTGCGACATATATATATATATTGTTTCTTTCAATATTTTCTCACCTTTGTTCAATATACCCTTTGTGAATTTTATTTATGTAGTCGGATTTCGTTACAAATATCACTAACGAATCCCGAATAGGATGAACCGCTAGTGGTTCCCCGTACCGGGTTCATACAATCTTTTTTGAAAAAACTTACTATTTTCACATTTTATCATATTGATGTCTTTTTCTGACAGAATTAATTGTGTCGACTTCAGTCTATCCCAATAATATTGAGAAAATTTCTCGCCATACTGGTGATAGGTGACATTTCTCAGATGTAGTTTAATAGCTGTGATATCACACACTGATTTTAAAGCTTGTCTAAGTTTCGAGTTCAGTCCTGATTGATATAATTATATCAAGATTCCTTATAATGCGTATCAACATAGTTGGATGACCAACTTCAGTACACTCATCCTCACACGTAGTGCATCGCACTAGAACCCCACCCTATGATATATTTATTTTTAAAGACAACCCGACGTGTCTACTTACTTGCTTGATATCCCTGGGTGAATTCGATACTGGATATCACTCAGATAGTACTTTCACTGTAGTTTTCGTAGAATTATAAGATTGGATAGACCCGTGAGTGTCAGTCACAACGTAGAACTTTTTACGTACGTACATCAGTTCGAGTTGCCATATCACACTAGCACAAAGATGCAGTTTTCGATTAAAATCACAGTGACAGAAATAGTAAGAGTATAAGCAGCATTTGGAAGGATTAGGGTTTGAAGATGTTATTGAAGGAGTATAGTACAGTGAAATAAATTTGGAAAGAGAAAACGATAAAGACATGAAGAATTCAGAAGATTACAATTTAGCGGAACACAAAGTGGATGCACCTTCGCCATTGCAAACGATTTTGAGCCATGTCATTCAAGGTCTCTAACCATCGATTGCTATCATCTCGCGAATCCAACCAGGTAGTCTACACCTACCAACGTGACCAAGTCCACTTGTCAGCTACTTCATGGATTTATGCCACGTTTTGGTCTGGCCCTAGCTTCCTTCCAACCTACTCCTAAAACATTAAACATTGCACGTCGTGGCAGTCGGGCATATGTAACACATGTTGCAGTCATCTCAACTGATGAAGTTTCACTGCTTCGTCAATCGATTGGCACCCTTACCTAATACCTTTTTCCTAACTGCATCACTTACTCAGTGGTCCCAGGATATACGAGCAATGCGTCGAAGACACCTATGATCGAATACTAGTAGCCTACGAATATCCTCTACGCTTATCGGCCATGTTTCACTGCCATAAAGTAGGATGGAACGAACTGCTGCACAGTAAACCTGTCCTTTGGTTGCTAGACGGATATCGTGTGAACAACCTCGTTTTATTGGCAGTTATTATGTATATTTTCACATTTAATCAAGTATAGGGAATCTGTTATATCAAAGCAAACACATAGGAACGACTAAGTTTCATTCTATTGTACAAAAATGCATGATGACCTTGTAATTAGAACCACAACGCAGCACTGTATCACTAAGCTAATGATCAAGTCTGAATTAGATAGTGAAGCATACATCACCCGTCACGTCTAAAAAACCCGAAGTTGAAAGTATTCAGCTGCGCGGGTCAAAACCTAAAAATGTCATTTATTACAACCCGAATATACCTCATCCACCTTTTAATATAAGTAGTAATAATACGAAAGACCGACATAATAATGTAGGTCAATAGCCGACTTCTTTCCAAATCGCAACAACGAAGTTATTCCCGAAAAGCTTTGTTTTCTTTAAGATTTGCAGTTGTCCATGGGTCATAATATACTTGAACAAGGAATACGTTTTAACTACGACGCACTGTGCAAGCTACAAGAAGGAAGTCAACTTAGGACTTTCCATATACAACAGACTTATTAGACCAAGCTCTTATCGTTTTCTTCTCAATGACACTTTAAGCAAACGATATTTCATTGTGTTTGAATTATGAGAACTACGGTAATACCTATAAGTATTTTAACACTCACGACATGCGCGTAGTTCTGTCTGCATGAACAGTATTTTTAGTTGCTGAGCTTCTTCTGACTGCGTACTAAAACAAGCATCTAACAATTGAAGTATGTTTTTAAAATTGCGTGATACGACGTACTGATTGCAGGCATCAGACCATGCCATTGCATGATATTAAGATGAAGGAGTCTAACAACCGCACTCGAGTACAGAATTAGTGTTTTTAAGGCGGATTTTGCTAACAAACATAAGTGGTACAGTTTTGCAGAAAGACTTTGATTAAAATATGATATTTTAAAGGCAGAACACAAATAGACACACAAATATATTTAATGAATTCTTAAAAGCAAGAATTTAACCTTTGAGAGAACTCATTCCGGCTCGCATTATTTCGTCAACAAGCAATATATTGGAGGCAATAACAGAACTGAAAAAAAGATATAAACATTGTACTGTAAGCTAGTGTGCCACTTTCCAAGGCATTATAGTAAAAGGTTTCATGTTTTTGTTGCAAAACTTTTTGCCGTTAGTCCAATTTACATGCATAGATTTAAAATAATATTAATAAAACAGGAATCGGTATACTGCAAGTCTTTTAGGGTAGATAGGAATAAACAATTTCAATATTTGTGGATTAGACTATGAAGCAAATACAAAGCTTAAAGGATACTTATCACTAGGGAAGATATCGTCTAGTTTGTAACCCCACGTTTGCTTGACAAAAGTTATGACATTAGGTCGATCGATTCCATAGGTCCATCTGTTTTGATGACTGGTTTAGGTGGATGTGGTAGCTACACATAAATAATTAACAGCCACGAACACTTCATATTTTATGAAGACTCGGTCAGTTACTAGGAACGTGGACATGAATCAGCCCAAGTTTCAGCACCATTTCAAAAGAGGGAGGAAATTACCGGAGAAGTACAAAGAGTAGTAAAAAGGTGAGGCTTAGAGACGAATAAAGAATGGATTCAAGTAATAAAATTGTTAAGCTCAGTGAAAGTTTTTGATGGAGTTTTGTTCTCTGAGCTGAATGGTTTGGTCAGAGAACAAAACTCCATCAAAATCATTCACTTGAGCTACAAATGTTCTCCACCATCTCAGGAAAAAGTGGATGTATCTGCGACACTACATCTGATTCTGATCATTGTTACTCAACACCGACAACCACTCATTGTGATTTCCAAATGAAATCTATCAACACAGTTCAGGACTAATCCCACGTCTTCGTTTGACCATCCCTAACTGTCTTTCAAACTACTTCTAAACCATCTAACAAAGTGTGCCGGAGCAGACGACTGTTGTACATATATGATACACATTTTATATGACCTCATTCCATAAAGATTTACTACTTCACCAACCTATTTGCAATCTCCCTCTAGTATTTTAGTAAGAAAATCTCCAAAGAGGAGATCAATCCCCAAGGAGATAGACGAAGATAGTGTCAACAATACTAAATGAATTAGAAACAGCTTAGTCCGAACGCAAAATTATCGTCACAGTACTAACGATATGACATGATAAGTAGGTGAATTATAGTTTCATTTTTATGCAAGGTGTCGGTGAGTCAAAATAAACGTAGTACCTGGTACATCAGCTCAAGTTGCCACACACCACTGATATAAAGAAATGAAATTTCTAAGGAAAATCCCAGAATATTAAAAATATTAAGTTTCAGTGGTATTGGGAAAGAAGACATGATTCAAGAAAATATAAGTCAGTGAGATAATAAGTTTATGAGGAATTCAAAATCTCACAATATGAGGGAAGACAAAGAAAAAATGCACTTGCGCCATTAAAACCGGTTTTGAGCCATATCATTGGGAGCTTCTAGCCATTGGTTGAGATAACCACGTGAACTACAATCAGGTAGTCCACACCTGTTAAGATGGCTCAGTATAAATATCAAATTCATGGATTGGTGTTACGTCTTGGTTTGATCACCCCTATCTTTCTATACCAGACAACATCGCTTGTTGAGGTGGAGGGTGGTTGGGCATATGTGAAACATGTCCCAACCACCTCAGTTAATAAAGACTTACTACTTAATCGACTTGCCATTTTTACCTAGTACCACATCCGTAACAAGGCATTCAATGCTTAGTGGTTCGGAAATAAACGAGTGATGCTTCGAAGACACCTGTGATCGAACATACTCTATTCTTAGTGGTAAGGAAGTTGAAAATCAAAACATCGACGCAAACTACAAACAAATTTGGGAGTAATAGCTGTCAAAGGTATTTTCGGGCGTTTTTAATTAAGAACAAAGAATGTACCATGCAAATATTCTTTGATATCCATCTATAACTGAACTTTGAATTTACTAGCTATCAATGATTAGTTATTTTGCAAAACAAATGAACAACTCAGAATACTATGTAGACTGAGAATATTGTGTGAGGACGGTTCACAGGTGAACTTGAGGAAGCTTTAAGAATTTTAGGAGCCGAACATATTCCATTCAGTCAGCTTTTGGAAGATTATTCCAGAATCACTACGTGTAGCTTCCCTATTGGACAATGCCAATAACCCCTGTGTGCGGGTTTGATAACTATAATGATGATTTCGTTTTTACTAAAAACTATGAATTACTTAGTTTTGTACCATAATTGACACTGTGTTGGGAATAACATTCCTACTTACTAGTCTTCTGTCTTCTCTCTTGCGACTTCGCGGGTTCAATCGTTTAAGCAGTCTAGTAGTACGCGGCATAGCAAGGACCTAAAGCTTTAGATATAACATATTGTTTTAACTAAACCTCACTGAGTACTTAAATAGTTAAAAAATAAAATTACTGATCAGTAGAAAAATAATTAAACAGATGTTTACCCACAAAACATGAAATACAACTCAACAAACTTACCATGAATTAATTATTTGTTTTTTCACAATGAAGTTGTCATAAACTCCAACTTGAGCAGGGATCATTGCTTCCCCCGTAGTGAGATCAATTCCTACGAGCTGTGTGGGGATAATATGGTTGCAACGATTATCCACCTTAGTTGCTTCCTCAAGCAATTTCACCATTGTCTCCTGAGCATCATGACCGGCATTCCTAGCTAAGACTTTTAAAATAACAAGCAACGCATCTGCGAATGCCTGAACACCGAGACGAGCACGACCCTTAACAGACTGTGCAAATTTGCATAGCTCGCGATAAGCAACTAATTCAAAAGCTCCTGCGCCTGGAATGACACACTCTAAAATTTAGAAAGATGGGAATTAACAAAAAATAAAACCCTGAGAATATTTGATTCATGCAAGTCGCCAAGTAATAGCCGACAAAAAGGTTTTTCCTCACATATCTAAAGCGCCGTCAATTATTATCAAAGGCTTACAGTGTGTCTGTTTAGGTTGCTACAATTTATATCAACAGAGTGAGAGGGGAGATTCGTAAGACGGAAAGAAGTGGGATTGATTTTGGCTACAATGAAAATCAAAACAATGGAGCTTCTCGCATTATGCGGAATCGAGTAAAGCAGGTATAGGTAAAGATGAAAAATAGGTGGATGTGATTGGGGTGTGCTAAGACTACTCACTCACGCTATATATCAGCGTGCAATACTGGCTGGAATAAATATAGATTCCAGGCTAGGAACGGGTTAACTGACGTAATATTAATCAACAAAATCGACTTTATTTTAGGAATGTTGGTAGGTGCACACTGTATTAGGATACTTGGAAGATTGTTTAGAATCAACTGAAGTGTAGATGAATTTATTTTTTAAAACTAACATTGAATTGAGTTGCAATGTTAATTCACACTTCTCATTTTGTTAATTTATTTGATCTTTTATAACTACAACCTCTATACATAATGCTTTTTGTATCGCTAACATTACAAAAGCTTTTACTATCTCTGCATTCATTTTGTTGATTTCATCTTGCTATGTTGATATGGTGTGATAGACTGGAATGATGAATATTTGTGCTAAGTCTTGTTTTGCTTACAACTGGTTAATATTTTAAAAGGAGCAAAAGAAATCGATTAGTTTGAAGTTATGAATGACACAACTCAAGGACTGAAGGATGAATGTCGTATAGTAACCAGGGACGACGTAAATTCCTGCAAGGCTCCAAATGCCCTGGTAAGGCCAAGAGTGGGGAGAGTCTACGCTTCCTCTCGAAATGCTCTCACATGGCCAGCGAATATATAGCCTCTGCCAGGGAAGTCCTACTCACTGCCTTCTCGTGGCGGGGGTGTTGTTCACAAAAGTGAGAGGACGAAAAGCGAATGTCCGGCGCTTTAACCGGGTTGGTGGACACGAAGAGTTCACCTAGGGGAGTTGGAAAACCCTGATTCCAAACCAATGGTGCACATGGGCTCCAGTATCCTGATGGAACGAATGGCGGACGAACCTGTCATTGGTCAACGGCTACCATGGGACTGCATCTCCTCACGATGCTCCACTGCCTTGTGGATCAGACCTTTTGGTCAAAGGCTCGGGGTGTGGCCCCCTAAGAAAACCACCTGCTTCGGTTTGGGCACCCGGGCAGTCTCACAGCCCACACACAAATTATTTTGTGTGGCGCATATGTACCTGGTGCCCTTTTGTACCAATATATATGTATTTATATAAATAAATAAATAAATACATTGATTATAACTGCCTGAAACAACCCATTAAAGCAAACAAAATACGTAAGTCGCCACCATTCGCTCACATGTGTCTTTAAAGTTATACTTGGATTTGGAGGTACTATAGTGTGGGCATTGTTTACACTTAGTTGTTTAACAGAAATATATCAATACAGAGCTGATCGCTGTGAAGCATATAAACCATTTGATTGGTAGACATACCTCGTTTTTGAAACAGACATCTAAACGTCAAATGAAAGGTAGACTTATGAATCCACACCTTTACATCCGAAACATGTGTGATATGTCAACATAAGTCTCCCAGGTTCAGCGTTTACGAGCTTCAGCCTAGCATCATATGATCACGGATACTAATATTTTAGACTACATCAGCTAATCACTAAGAAGAATTATATTTGTAAAATCTCAGAGATTGAACTATAAGTAAATCCAACGTTTCGCTCGCCTGTCTGGTTCAAGCTCTTTCAAGGAAATATAATCAGAAATCAAAACTATCGAATATTGATAAGTACATAGTTCTTCGGTTAACTTTATAATAAACAGGTCATTTAATCATGCTAGCAATGGTGAAAGTAAAAATTTGCAGTAGTACATATGAGACACCTGGTATGCTAAGATAGCAGTGGTATGTATGTGTAAGTGAATCAGAGATGAGACAAACAGACCGAGACTGTTGACTTTTGAAATTATAACGTTGATCGAGCCTGTTTTATGCAAAATTTCGGATGAACAGGTAGATGTGGGGATTAAAATCTTAGCTGGACTATTAAATAAAAAACCTTAAGTTTCTAATCTATCTAAAGAGGAAATAAACGTCTAAAATCAGCTGCGTAAAGATATAAAAATTGTTACTACGAGATCACACAAGGGTGACATTACTGTTGTTATGATCTCGGATTATGAAAAATATTTCTTTACACACCAGATGTCTCATATGCACTGCGGCAAATTTGCACTTTCAACACTGCTAGCATGATTAAATGACTTGTTTAGTATAAAATTAACCGAAGAACTATGTACTTATCAATATTCGATAATTTTGATATCTGATTATATTTCCTTGAAAGAGCTTGAACCAGACAGGCGAGCGAAACGTTGGATTTACTTATAGTTCAATTGCTGAGATTTTCACTAGTACAGTTTTCCTTTTTTAACATCTTACATCAACTATTGTGGAAATATTCATCCAAATCTAGACGAAAATCCATACATATTGATTGGTTTTTTGTAGCTATTACAAAGAGATACCATTTTTTGTGCACTAGCGATATCAGTCTGAATTTGAAAATCTTATGGCTTAATTCCTTCTAATGCTACTGCGGGACTTGCTATGACAATCTTATCACGTTGTGCTAATATGGTGTGGAAACTTGAATGGACGCACATATGAAGAGTCCTAAAATGTATATGACTAACTACCTAGTTTCTTAATCTGACTACTTATATTTATATTTCAACACATAAATATTGGTACAAGGAAGCACCAGATACATATGCGCCACACAAATCTCATTTGATTTGTGTGAGGGCTGTGATACTACCCAGGTGCTCAGACTGAAGCAGGTGGTTTTCTTAGGGTCTTCTTAGACTCGGGCCAAACCCCGAGTCTTTGACCGAAATGTCTGATCCACAAGGCAGTGGAGCATCGTGAGGAGACACAGTTCCATGGTTGCCGGTGACCAACGATTGGTTCATACGCCATTTGTTCCATTAGGATCCTGGAACCCATGTGCACCATTGGTTTGGAATCAGGGTTTTCCAACTCCCCTAGGTGAACTTTCCGTGCCCACCAAACCCGGTTAAAGCGCCAGGCATTCGCTTACCGTCCTCTTAATTTCGTAAACAACACCCCCGCCACGAGAAGGCAGTGAGTAGGACTTCCCTGGCAGAGGCTATATACGCGTCGCCATGTGAGAGCATTTGGAGAGGGAGAGCGGACTCTCCCCGCTCTCAGCCGTACCAGGGTATTTGGGGGCTCTTAATCTGACTCCTAACAATAAAGCGTCTTAGGGATAAACATTAACAAGCAGCTGCTCTTCTCTAGAGGTTAGTTAGTCTTTTTAACTTAGCTGAGTTGGAGACCTGATTGCAGTTTTTAACCTAAGCAGTTGGTAAATGATAGCTGAACTGCTGTTTAACGTGTTCCGTATATAGTTTTGGGTGAGTGGTCTACCAGATAAAAGTTCTATTTTATTCTAAAAATAGTTACGCTCACAAGTGGCACCTCAACTAACTTCGTCAGAATCAACTGCTTATTTCAGTATACTGAATACACAGGAGACTATTGAAAAGACAGAGAATAATGACCAAACGTTACACTTGCCGGATAGTCTGGGCACCCAGGCAGTATTACAACCCTCACACAATTAAAATGAAATGAGAACTTTTTGTGTGGCGCACATATATCTGGTTCTCTCTTGAATCAATATTTGTGTTCAAATAAACTCGACCATAGCTGCCACCTTGACGTGGTGGTCGGGCTTGCTCAACCGAGCTATATTGGCTGGAACATATGTTCCTGAGGGTTCTACCACACCAGGCAGGTCGATTGAAGAACGGCAAGAATAAAAGTACCAACTCAAGGTCTGGGGGCAAAGTCTTACTGCTGACTATGGAGGGGTGTGACAGCAGTAGGGTGTTTCCCTCAGGCAACCAGCATAACAGCGATGCTGCCTTCTCACAAAGAAGGAAGGGGTTAGAAGAGGTCGACCCTAAAAATGTTACACTTCCCCTTTCCTCACGGATTCCCGTCTCCGGCGGTAAGGCCTTTTAAAGAACGGAGCTAACATGTCAAAAACCTCCCACAAAAAGGCCGGGCGTGAGCGACCTCAAGCAGTTGTCTCTTATGCTCTGCGATCACATTCTCAGGTCTTTAAGACCAACACTAATCCAACTTCTCTTTCAGGTTCCTTAGGAAATACCCTTCCACGGTGTGAGCAGCCGGAAAGTGACATCAGCCCTCATACCCATAAAAACACATGAGACCAAGTTGGTCACAATCAAATCCTTCCTGATCCTCATAATGACTATCTTACCGGCACGAATAATCCTTCCCACGTTTCTTTATAACCTCGCGCTGCTAGTGCAAACGATTCGATTACGCAAAGGGTTGTTCCCGGTCTCTTGAAATTACGCTCTTAACTACATGTAGGAGCTGTGCCAAATAGGATAACAGGCTTTCCTAGCTGGGACTTTAGAATCACGCACCATCGATGTGTGTTGCGTCTCCGAAACGCGCATACAGGATCCGAGTAGCGTCTCCGAAACGCGCATACAGGATCCGAGTAGCGTCATTCATTTGACCTCACCATGTCAAAGTAAAGAACCAACTCGACTCACACTTCGTGTATCTGGAAGTCCTGATGCTGCTTCCCGTGATCTCGCTGGCGTAGATATAGCATTGATTCCTGGGGCAGACCAGCTCTCGTAGACTGGATCCCAGTAGACAATCTTCTGTGCACTGTCCGAACGGAACAGTAAGGACTCGGAAAGATAGGGACACTCATCGTCTCTGCCTACTCTCCCACTGACTGCAGTTCAGATGATATAAAAGATGAGTTTTACAGGAAACTTTCTGACCTTCTCCGAAAAGCTAGGCGTTCTGATGTAGTAATAGTGGCTGGTGACTTTAATGATCAAGTAGGTAAACTAAGAGGAAGACATCTGGGTGGATCTTATAGTGTCGTGGCTTAAAGAACAGATAATGGCGACCGTCTGTTGCAGCTATGCTCAGATAACCGCCTATTTCTTGTAAATACTAACTTTAAGCATAAGGAAAAACATCTTTTGACATGGCGACCCCCGAATTCGTCCCAACGTTGGACCCAATTAGATCACATCGCTATCAGCCACCGATGGAGGGGCTCGATAGAAGACTGTCGCTCATTCTAGGGCACATGTTTAGATTCAGATTATGCTCTAGTGCGAGCACGTATCTGTCTGCGACTTACTGGACGTAGGAAAGACACTGCAGGGAAGCCCCTAAGGGTACTACTTAATGATAAGCAAGCTAAGAATATATTTCAGGAACAACTGGAAAAACAGTTAGACAGACATGTAAGTTGTGCCCATTCCGAGGCAGCGTGGAATGACATCCGAAAAGCTGTGGAAACAGCAGTGATATCTGCTATTACGGTGAACTATAAAGTTAGGGAGAAACACTGGATCTTACCAGCATCTACCGCACTGATAGATGCTGGAAAACTCATCCTATGTGGCTCTGAACATAACGAAGAGCGGAGTCAGCTTAAGCGAAGGCTAACAAGAAGCCTACGCAATGATCGCGAACAGTGGTGGGTAGCGAAAGCAAGAAAGATGAATAAGGCAGCAGCAAGAGGTAACAGCAGACAACGGTTTAGACTTGTCAAGGAAACCAGTATTAAGAATTTAACTATTGGCGAAACTATCTCGGAAAAATGATGGACATATTATTCATTCTTAATCCAGGAGATTGGATCGATGGGCAGAACCCTTTAGAGATCAGTTCAAATGATCTACAGCCACACTTCAGTTTTCCACGATCCCCAGTCAACCTGAATGGCAAGTTAATGTAAGTCCTCCAACTCTTTTTGAAGTCGAAAAAGCTATAGGAAATCTGAAGCAAGGGAGAGCAGCAGGCATTGACAGGTTTAACCCTGAGATTTTTAACGATGGTGGTCCCGTATCAGTTTGACTAGTATAGTGTCTAAAATATTAGCTTCAATAATACTTCGACGCCTAACCAAAGCTTGTGAAGAGCAAAATAGAGAAAATGAGGCTGGTTTTCGATCTGGACGTGGTTGTATAGACCAGATATTTACTCTACGTCAGGTCCTAGAACATAGACACACATTCAGACGCCACACAATAGTAGTAATTCTCGACCTTAAGGCGGCATTTGACTCTGTTGATCGTGAGGTTCTGTGGCAGTGTTTGTCACTGAAAGGAGTACCAAAGTATATTAACTTCATAAAAGCTCTGTACTCGAACACAACTGGTCAAGTTAGAGCTTATGGCGAACTGTCATCAGAATTGGTAACCTCAAGTGGTGTTCGTCAGGGCTGTCCACTCTCTCTATTCGTTGACATGCTTTGAGAGATAACACTTTCATCACCTAAATCTCTAGGAGTTGAACTTTTACCGGGAGACTCACTTGTTGACTTGAAATACGCCAATGACATAGTTCTATTTGGCGAAGGCGCTGAAAAAATGCAGTCTTTTGACCACTATAAGGAACAATGCAGGCATCAGTCAGTTAGTCAGTCAGCGACAACGTAGGACCAGACACATATATGCATCGGTCCAAGTTGCCATACCTCGTTAGCACAACAAGATGAACACCGGATTCATAGAAGTAATTAATTTAGTGGTGGTAGTAGTATATAAAGAAAGGTTGTATATAAGGATATAGTATTGGAAGGAAAAACGTTATGAAGCAATTTTAATCTCAAGGTTTAAGGGAACATAAAGAGTGTATACACCTACGTCTTTGTGATCGATTCTGAGCCATGTCATCTGGAGTTACAAACCATTGGTTACGATAGTCACGCGGACCCTAACCAGGTAGTCTGCATCTACCAACATGGATCAGACTAGAAGTTAGTGACTTCAAGCACTGACGCCAAGTTTTGGTTTGGCCGCCCCTAACTCTCTTCCAACCCTCCCCTACATTAGTCAACATTGCGCGTCGTGGTAATCGGTGTTCAGGCATACGTAACGTGGCCCAACCATCTGAGTCGATTAAGATTCATGACCTCATAAACTGATTTACCATCATTCCCTAATACCCTGCGTCCAACCTCACTATTACTTACCCGGTTATCCCGGCAGATGCGAGCAATATTTCTAAGGCATCTGTTGTCAAATACTAGTAACCTACGTGTCTTCTACTCTTAATGGCCATGTTTCGCAGACGTAAAGCAGAACAGAACGAACTGCTGCGCATTATACTCGTCCCTTAATTGATAGACGGATATCTCGTCTTCGCCATAGGTGACGTAAGTTGGCAAAAGCCAAACGAACTTTTTGAATCCGTGCAGGCATGCTCGGAATGCGATTTTCTCCCTCGGAATTCTTCATGTTTCTTTTTCTCTTTCTAAATTTGTTTTACTGGATTATACTTCTTGAATAACATCTTCAAACCCTAATCATTCTGATTACTGCTAATAGTATTACTACTACCACTATGGGATTTGAATCGACAACTGCACCTCTGTGCTTATGTGGTATGGCAACTCAAACTGGTGTATGTACGTACGAAGTTCTACGCGACTGACTATTCCAATGAATAATGATAAGCCTTAGTCTACATACATAAATCAGGACAGCTGCATTGGAAATTGAGACAGCGCTTTAGAGAATATAAACTAATAAAATAAATATACTGAAATGGAAGCCATGAGTAGAAAGACATACTAGCAAGATTTTGTGTGGCGCTGAGTCGGATTATGAGGCACGATTTACCATTAGACGTGAAAATTTGAAAATAATAACGAGTGTTGTATGCTTTTATAAATAGAAAACTAATGCAGACATTTGCTTACCATCTTCTAATGTGTTCTTTATAGCACGCAGTCCGTCATTAACAGCATCTTTGATTTGGTTGAGTGTATGTTTATTAGGCCCACGCATCAACAAAGTTACTGACTGCGGACTTTTACATTCTTCAATAAATGTATATTTCTCTTCGCCCTAAAAATAACACTAACACTCAAAACAACGTACCAAAACAAATTCATAAACCAGGCCGGCATGTCCAAGACAATCAGGTGTCATTTCATCGACTGAGTTCAGCGCATATCCACCACATGCAAGAGTTACTCTTTCCATATTGCGTTTCTTAGCACGACGTAGAGCAAGTATTCCTTCTCGAGCGAAGGCATCTAACGAAAATGGGTCAATTCCTTTTTGATTGATTATTACGAATCCAGGTTTGTCACCATCACTAACCTCCCCACATACTTTTTTTTTCAGAGCGATCACTTTCTGAACTCTTGAGTCAATAAACTCCCGTTCAGACTTTACAAGGGCCGCTCTTTCTTCCGCTGTCTTATAAAAGAATCCGGAATTCACCTCACTAATTGTTGATTAATAAAAAACTGACTTACGTTTTTTCGTATTCGAAGGAAACGTTACAAGTCAAAATAAATGCATTAGTTACACGTTTAGGCATATTTGGGTGTCTGCCACCATGATCTAATACCAGCCCTTTTACAAGTGTTGTATCCATATCAGTTCTATGTTGCATTTGCATCAGTTCAATTCGATGCAAGTCTAAAGGTTCGTTCGGTCGCCGAATTGATAATACTGCATCTACAACATGCTACGGGTGTCAAGCAAACAAAGAATTACCTCAGTCAGGAGGTTAGCCAAATCAGAATGGACCTTTGTATTGAGCGATGTCGCCGCAACGGATATGAGTGTGCTTCTATCTGGCATTTCTGACGGGCAGTCGATCCGACACTTGGATAGTATATCCAAACATTTGTTTGCAGCGATATCAAAGCCTTCTGTAATCAAACGCGGGTGAAGTCCTTCGGAAGTGTGAACATCTGCCTGCTTCAATAATTCAGCAATCAGAAGGACATTTGAAGTTGTTCCATCACCTGTCATATCATCTTGAGCAGTTGCTACACGCGCGATCAGACTTGCAGTAGGATGTTGTATTTGCATTTCATGAAGCAGAACATTACCGTCTTTGGTAATCTTGATATCGCCTGCACCTGAAACAAGCCTAAAACGACCATAAGACGATATAATTAGCATACATTTTCATGGTCCCCTTTGGGCCAAGATTAGTTTTCAAAACGTCGTAGAGTCCCCTTGCGGCAGCCAAATTGATACTGAATGCATGCTGAGCCTTTGCGAACTCTGCTTTCGGGTTCAAAAGAGATATGGATGCCATTGACTACAAACCACGCGATGATTTGAAATCACAACGAACTTGCAACCAAGGTTAGAGAAACCTCTGGAATAATTTAGGTACAATCTTCAATCTTATGGACGACGTAATCATAGTACGGTGAATTTGAAATTGATATCCATTCTGCAACTCATTTTTCATGAGGATATACCTTAGAAGCTAACTAATGTAACTGTTATCAAATAAAGTTTTAGTCTTCCAACTCAGGTTAAACCAATTGAAGCAATCTTGGAAACTGTGATTTGTCTATACAGGATTGCTAGTATATATATATATATATCTGACCTAGCATTAAAATATATAGCCCAACTTTCCTTTCTTTTTGGTAAGGATTAAAATTCATGTTTCCAAACATCCTTGGAATCTACGCCTCGGTAGTAGGAAGACGTTCTAAGTCATATAGAGGTAGAATTCTTTCTACGGTTTTTAAAAGTTGGAGGGAGAATATATTATTTAATTATCAGCGATTTGATTGAGGAGGAATAACCAGAGTAGTTTCCTCAAGTTACTGCGTAACTAATCACCCGGTCTTCTTTTAAAAGATCCCACAAATGTGCTAATACCATCTCTTCCCATGAGAAATTCCGCGATTTACTAATTATGTCCATTTAAAATTTCCCGTTAGTTTTCATGTATGCTCTTTTGTTTCTTATCCTAAATGGATTTCCTCATGGACGTGGTTGGGCACCAAACCCAAAATGTGATCTACTGGAGTGGATAGGGTTGCAAGCAAATTGACATAACATAGTCATCCCACCATTCCCTTCAGTACTATCGAGAATATCGATTTAATGCCATCAGAACAGGCTGTTGGGGTCCACGTTCAGTCTAAGATCCGTTTTACTTATTCTCCCTTTGAACTTGTTCCAAGGATATGATATCCTTCGAGACTGAAGAGGGCCTGATGAGGCGCCAAGTGAATGCTAGAAACAAATTAGAATAATCTCGAACTTGGGTTAGACAGATTTCTGGATAATTGGATAAACCTATGGATGCTGCTCAACTTTGGTCGATCATCAGGTCATATAAAATTATTGTGAGTTAGTAGAATTGTGGTTCATGTAGGTATTAGTACATTTATCTTTGCTACCATAATATGAATTTAATTCTGAAACTGTAGATTTGTCATGATGTGACATAATCTGCAAGATCTTGAGTGGAAATCACATCACTGTCTATTCCGACCCATCATATCTTGGCAATCAGCAATATAATACTAAGCACTTCCAAAGAACACATTTGGACTGGGAATAGAACAATATATTTGATATGAAAAGGAACAAGTTGTGCATAAGTTTCATGCCGAGATGGCTGAGCCATGCCATCTCAATACTGTGTCCCCACATTCGCTATTTTTGACCTTTCTTATACGTTACACATTGAATGCAAATATCAGTAATTGTGCTTTGGCTTCAATGATCGTATGGTTAGGCGCCAAGAATTCCACAAGTTCCTAGTAGTTCATCTTTCAGTGTAAAAGAATTAGATCTCAATTATGTCACCATTCAGATGTCTCATTTACCGTCTTACTCGTAGACTTTGTAGCCCTACTCCCGTCTCCTCTAATTCTATTTGATCAGTTATTAACCCTTACCATTTCTGAACTAAATGTCTGATCAGTATCTTATACTTTGTACCATTAGCTAATTTAATAGCAGAGTGATAAACCAAATGAATATATAGCACGAAACACAGAAGCCTCAGCTCTCTGATTTGCTTGGGGCATGAAACTGGTAGAAACAATGTATTCCAACAAGGTAAGCAACACAGCTTAGTTTTGAGCGCTGTTCAAAGATATCACAAATGTAAGACAGCCTAACATCTCAGAAAGAAGGATGGTAGTGTTCATGACCAGCAAGCATTATGGTGGAAAGGTAACTTTGATCCATGTCTGTAGGGCAGAACGGCTTGTTTACTTAAAGCTCCTTATGGTCCAACGAGGTGCAACTAATCCGTTTATTGATGTCATTTTCATATGCCAAATACTACTTCGACTCATTTTCGTAAACTCGAATTAGATTCACATCCCATAGAGAAGTCTTATCACTAGCCAAACTGCGCAATCGTGCGAAAATGGAGTCCACTCATGACCTAATACAAGTCTTTATAACAAAAAATTGGTAATATTTGACAAGAATAAGTCATTTGTGTGTCCCAATGCTATGTTTTACCTACCACATCCTTCAACTACTTCTGTGAAGTCAGCATCTCTCGCAATCAATGATGTTGGTGTTACAGCTCCAACAAATTTGGTTCCTAATTCCATTGTTTTATCCATTGTGAAGACAACTCGTACATGAAGACAGGTGCATATTCCCGAATTTCATGTTGCGTTCATTACTTAATCTTCATCCCGTTATATTTTGTGGTACGGGTACAAACCAACAGAGTTGCTAATAACATGTTTTTGCCGATAATTTTCTTAGAAAAACCTTTATTTGTGAGTACTATTTTTACTGATAAATTCATTAAATTATTCCTATATGTAGGAGGATGTATGTGCATTTCCCGTGATATATTATTATGTCACGAAATTTAACTTCGTCGTACTCTTACACTTTATTACTAATCGTATACATGGCATATATTTTGGGAGGATATTAATTTGAAATTTATTTATTATTTCCTTCGTCGTGCGTTATGTAATATTTTATTCCCTCCAAAGCATCATGGGTTTTTGTCAAACATACCTCCACTGACAAATGCTTTAAGGAGGGAGTTATATTTTCTCATGTATGTTCAAAGATTTTGTAAGGAAAAATAAAGATCACGTTTCGCTCTATTTGTCACAACTTATGTATAGTCACGCTTATATACAATATCTTTTGTTTCTTTGTATCATTGGTAAAGAAATGTATAAAATTGCTTGGTTATATGTACTATACATACACTACTGCGGCTGTTAAGATATAAACGCTATCTCCGCCGTCTATTCTTTTGCCTTATTGGCCACAGCCTTTGATTGAAGATTATAATAATGTTATAACATCCTTTTAAGCCTTCCCACACTACGTGGGAGTTTTTGCCCGGATCGTTATTAAATGATACTATCGGATTTAATCTTCCTCATTAGGCTGTTGGTGCCACCACGTGCAGAGGAACCTTTGCCAATCAAGTGAACCCGATTGTGGTTGTTACTCACAGGGCAGCTTATAAGTAACATTCATTTCATGACAACTGTAATCAGTTTGTTACTCAATATACCATTTATATGTTAACTGTAATTTGTCAACATCTTGCTTTACCTATAGACAGACATTTTGGTTTGTATTGTCAATTCTTTCTGGTATAATATTGGTAACTTTGTGTTTTCTTATATATTGAGTAGGCTCTTTTGATGTGATGCACACGAACTCATTCGACACAAGCTCAGTACGTAAGGATAGAGTCGGGAGAGATGCTGCTGTACTCCAGTCACGAAGATGAAAATGCTTTACGCACTCAGGGTGTTACCCGAACGCTGTCCAAAGAAGCTCGAAATTCACTTACAGGATGGGAATCTCATGGATCCAGAATGATCAATGCATCGTTCAATGTAAAGAATGAGGGAATCACAATGAATGTTATCCAGCGTTAATCCACCACCAATGATAGCGATGACGACGATAAACATCAGTTCTACGAGAGGCTGCAATCGATCTTGGTGAAGTGCCAAAGAAAGGACTTGAAAGTCTCGATGATAGACCTAAATGCGTGAATAGCACCAACGATGAACAAGGGTGACCCGGTGCAGACGTAAAGGCAAGGATTAGAAAAAATAAGGAAAGCATTCCTACAGTTGAAGATTACATGGAACTGAAAACGTCTGTCAATCAACATCTCTTACTACCCTTAGCCACCTTAGACCAAACGTTTCCCTATATAACAATAGTGTATCTTCGAACCTCTTCGTTTTTGGATACTGATTTGACTGTGTTAGCATACTTCGACCATAATGGTGTTACGTGCAAAGACTGACAAACTCTGAATAGCTGTTGCATTTTTAGTTTCAAATGATTCTGAATGGAACGTCCCCTTATCTTATCGTAGGACACAAGGTGACCTTATGCTGGGATTTCGTATCTTTAATTATGATTTGGGTGTTAATATGACTTATCTTTTTGCTCCCTCCAGCACTAATAATCTCCGAGGTCATAGCAAGAAGGTTCATAAACCGCTATCTAATAAACTAAAGGTGAGGTCCCGTTTTTCTCATCGAGTGGTCAATGACTGGAACGCTTTACCAGAACAAGTGGTATCAACACCATCAGTGAACATTTTCAAGAAGGAGCTGGACCTTCACTGGAAGGAAATCTGTCAGGATTAACACAGGTTCATCAACCCAATATCTTTATTACTGAAGACTGAAAACTGAATTTCCTCAGAAACTGATGTTCTCTAATCGCTTACAGCATCTAAATATGTTTAACTTTCTGTCATATACAGACCAAATTGCGACACTACGGATCATCATCGAACAATCATTTGAGGGGAACTCATCACTCGTTACTATACAATGGACTTCTCAGAATCAATTAGATGATTTGGACTTCGCAGATGACCTAGTCTTCCTCTCTCGTACACACGAACATATACAGACAAAGACAACAGATGTAGCAGCAGCCTCTGCATCAATAGGTTTCAACATACACAAAGGAAAAAGCAAGATTTTTAAATACAACACGAAGAACACCAACCCAATGAAACTTGATGGAGAAACTCCGGAAGAGGTGGAAACATTCACGTACCTGGGAAGCATCGTTGATAAACAAGGAGGATCGGATGCAGATGTAAAGGCGAGGATTGGCAAAGCAAGGACAGCATCTCTACAATTGAAGAACACGTGGAACTCAAAACAACTGTCAACCAATTTCAAAGTCAGAATCTTCAATACGAACGTCAAGACAGTCCTACACCACGGAGCCGAAACATGGAGAACTACTACGACCATCATCAGGAAGTTACGAGTATTTATAAACAGTTGTCTACGCAAAATACTCAACATCCATTGGCCAGATACTACCAGCGACAGCCTTCTGTGGGAGAGGACAAACCAGCTTCCATCTGGAGAGGAAATAAGGAAAAGACGTTGGAAGTGGATCGGACATACATTAAGGAAATCACAAATGTGCATTACAAGGCAATCCCTAACTTGGAATCCGGAAGGGAAGCGGAAAAGCGGAAGGTCAAAGAA